TATAAACTAATTAATCAAAAATCAAACTGAACTTGAGTTAAATGCTCCAAACATGAGTTCATAACTTTTTATCATCTAATTCATGGTTCTCTAATTTTGTGGCCTTAACATTATTAACTCCTTTTATTATTATACTTTTCACGACACTTTCACAACAACAAAATTATCAAATAATGATGACTATTAATAACCATGGCAAATAGAACCTAGCAGAAGCCTACCATTCCTTAAAATTAGTAAAATTGGAGTGAAATTTGTTATATCATAATTTTAGAGTTGATGTCTAATTTAAAATTTTAGTTTATCTCCCTTAACATCTTTGATCATTTAATTTTCAGCTGCTCAGCATCGAAAACCAATGGCGTTAGGTCCCCATTTTTCTATTTCTTTTTTTGAAGATCGTTTCTTCTATTTCGATTCTCCATTATTGGTTTGGTTTCAGAAAACTTTAAATTGATTTGGATTTTTTTTTTCCATTTTAGTATTATTGTTTCCCCATTCTTGGGCATTGCCTGCTAATACTTACAATGTGGGCTTGGGTAAGTTAGACCCAGCGCTAAGCTTTTTTCTTTTTGGTTGGATTTAAGCTTATAATATGTTTTAATGTTTTATTTTAATCTTGATTTTTTTTGGTAAATGGATAGGATGTGGCTTTTAGTAGAATTTGTATAATTTTTATTTTTTGTGCAAAAAAAGGATTTGAATGCATAATAAAAGAAGCTTTTGGACTTAATTGAATATTCTTTAAAAGTTAAGAGACTATTGGGGGAAGAAAAGTAAGTTTCAGGTATCTAAGTGAATGAATAAAGTTATAGACTAAATTGCTCATTGTATAGAAATTAGAGGACCAGATTGATATTTTATCATTAAAAAAATTGCAGAATGATCCAAAAACCCGACACGGGGTTAGGTGTCGACGCTACCTGTTTGGTGTCGACACGGGGTTTGATATTTTATCTTCGTCATCCTGATCCACTCCAGGACAAGAGTCCAAATTCACCTGATCAGGCCGGCCTAGGTAAAAACTTTTGTTGGGCCCCATTTACCACGAAGCCCCAAACCATTCACATATGGGCTGCTGCTTGGGCTCAGGCCCTTTGCAAAACTAACATGTGGGGTAATATCCTGCCGCAAGGTACATAACATTATGTTGGTCCTGACTACTCTTTCACCCACCGTTCCAATTTGGGATGTCCAATAATAGTTTCTGGGAGATCAATAGGAAGGTTGCGAATTAAAATATTAAGAATGATTAACAAAATTTTAAATATTTTTAACAAATTAATATGGTAAAAAAATTATTAAAGATATTTAAATAATTTTATTTATATTTTTTAATGTCTTAATTTTTATTTTTTAAAATAAATAAATTTAAAAAATAATATATATCAT